TTTTACTTTTTCTTTTCATCTTATTTTTTAGGTCACTTGTAAATGGAGGTTTTATTTTTATGTTGCATAGAGAAGACGTTCTGACATCTGTCTAAAATATGACATATACATATGCAGAAAAACTGCTAATAATTTCTCATAGGAATAAAAAGAAAAACAAATGTAATGATGCACAATAAATAAGAGAAAGACAAGTGTTTGCATTATTTATCTTAAGCCTGGATTTTGTGCTATAATGTCATAGTTCATCTACAATAAAGATTTTTTTAAAATGAACAATCAGATCTAATATGAACAGAAAAAATGTCTCACCGTTGTTCCGTCTGCAGCACAAGAACAAGAGCAGGAGGAAAATGAGAACGATTCTAACAGCTGGTCCGATGATCAACAGCTTAAGAAATAAAAAGCTGGCAGGACTGGATACTGAAAACAAGAAACATCAACAAGGAAGAAATATTTTGATATGCAGATTGTGTGACATTTTCTGTTTGAAGAAAAAACTGACTTCATACTAAATACTTACAAACATGAGCAACACAAACATCCTCAGTGCTCATCTTGCTTTTCTCTAACATTTAAACTGTTATAATGAATAAAATGAATCAAACATTTTCCTCCTCCTCACCTCTAACAGACATCCAGCTCCTTGGTGAATCTTTTCCTGAATGTTGACATTTGTAGAAACCTTCATCTGACTTTGACACTGCAGAGATCTTCAGCTCCCCTCTGCTGTCATTGTGGATGAGTTTATCATTATGATAGAAAAACACATTGGAGAGAAGTTGTTGTTTTTTATCTCTGCAGCTCAGAGTAACAGGATCTCCCTCAGTCACAGGATGAACAGGACTCACTAGGATAATACCATCATAATAATAATCTGTAAAACAATCAGAGAAAATTCAGTTCAGGAACATTTATTTAAGCTGTGTCAATAATTTAAAGTGTAATGTCATTTTTGTAGACAGCAAGGTCTGTGTGATAAGATAAAATAAAGTGATAAATTCTTCTAACAGTTGTCTATTTTTACTAGAAAAGGTCGTCCATCTTCTTCTGACTTCTGATAAAGTAGTTTATCAGTGTGATCTTCTTCCACTTTATCTCCTCATATCCTCTAGTCTTTGTTCTCCTCATCTTGAAAGGTAAACCTCAGTCAGATCTATGCTTCTTCATGAAACAACTTAATATGGATAAAACCTAAATAAATCACCGTTTAAAGATAATTTTTGAAAAACAATTAGGACAATAGAGGAAAAAAACAACATAATCATAAAAACAAATGTTTCCTGGAATGATGTCTTCAGGCTAAAAAGTGACACAGTCTTTAAAATTACATAATCTGATTATTTGAGTTTGCTGTACAATTTAAATAATGGGTGACCAGTTTTACATTTTAATCTGAATGGATTTTAAATAGTGAGCAAAACAAAACAAATAAAAAATAAACAATCTGATACAATAATGGAAGAAAAATTACACAAAAATCCTACACAATAGATTATTTTGATTTAACCTCAGTCTATGCTATGATATTTACAATATTTCATATATTTTCAATGTTTAAAGAAAGAAAAACAAGTAATAAACCACATCTTACTCTGTACGCTGATGTTGACAGCATTGCTAAACTCTCCAGATTTTGACTCACACCAGAACACTTCATTAATAAAATAGAATGGTTCAATGGTGCATGTAGATCCATTCATTCTCCCCCCATAGGAGCAGTCTAACAGTTCTCCTCTTTCTGTAAACCTCTTCACTCTCCACCCAGCAGAGTTTCCCTCACAGCTCAGAGACACAGATTCAGATCTGAAGTGTTGAACTCTGTCAGGATTCACTGAGAGAGAAGCTGCTGGACGAGGATCTGGAAACAAGACAGGATTTCATCTGAGAACAGAAACATCTTTGAAATGTTTCATTACAAATAGTTTGTTTCGATAGTAATAGAAATTACAGTAAACTTTTATTTCTGCTTTAAAACGTTCCCAATATGTCATCAAAGTACAAAATATTTTGTACTTTGATGACATATTGGGAACGTTAAATGACATATTAAATGAAAGTACAAAACAATAAAAAACTCCCTCTGGTTTAAACATTTCTTTAAGATACAGTATGTTGCTTGTTTTATTATTAATTATTATTATTACTTGACTTCAAATGAAATAAACTACCAAAGCAGAAATAATTATTTCATTTTTTTACAAGCTTACATTGGATTTTAACTGTGAATGTTTAACAGCTTTTCCTGGTCAATGTTTTAATTCAGCTGTAAAACAACTGGCTGATTTTACCTTCAACCATCTGACTTTAACATTTATTGTGTGGATTTTCTCAAAAATCTTCATAAGTGAATTTTTACCACATTTTATTCAAGTTGCACATAAAACAAATACAAATATTACAGTCAGAATCCAGGGTAACTCGTGCTTATTATCTTACAATATGAATGATCCATTAGTTTATGTTTTTTTTTCTAATGTCATGTTAATTTCCAACATCTTAACATTTTTTTAAATAAAAGACATATTGGATCAGGATAAAAACCTCAAGCTATTTTAATTGAGAGCAAAGACAGAAACAAACTGACCTGCAGACCAGATAAACTTTGGTTCACTGTAATAGGTGTAAAACTCTGGTTCTCCTCTTCCTGCTCTGCACACAAATCCTGCTGTGAGAGTCGATCCATTAATGATGAAGGAGTTCTGCTCAGTACCATTGGTGCTGCCAGGAAGCAGCTCAGAGGTGTAGGAGCTACTGGATGGATCAGGAACAGCTTTATACCAGAAGAACCTCCATCCTGCTGGTTGATGCTCCAAACCCTCACAGCTCAGAGTCACTGAGGCTCCAGGATTCAGCCATGATGGAGACACAGAGAGGACAGGCTGAGGGGGAGACGCTGGAGAGAGATTAGAAACTGGGTCAAACATTTGTCCTGATCATCTCTCATTATTTTATTGTAATTCTTTTAAGGGTTATTATTCTATCTCATGTATTTAAATCAATGTACAAAAAAATAAGATTCCCTCTGGTTGAAATTTTTCTTTTAGGTACACTATTTTACTTGTTTTTTTATATTATTATTTTAAACTTAATCTAACTTCACATTGTATTCTTAAATTTTAAGTTTCATTTCAACTTCGTAGTTGCACTGGTCGATATAAGCTGTTAACAATTTTTTACTTTAATCAAGGTTTCTCTGGACTTTCTGAAGGGCATCAATATCAACTATCAATACACTATTAAAAGTATACATGTACATGGTTGCAAATTTAATCCAGTTTTGCATAAAAAAAATATTTTGTTTTGTTTAATTTAGTTCCTGCAAAAAGGAAAATAAACTCAACCTGAAAGCATTTTCAGGTTGAGTTGAGGTCAGTCTGACTCACATATCACAGTCAGTCTGACAGAGTTACTACACTCTGTTAACTTGTAGTCTCCGATTCCTCTACAGCTGTATTCTCCACTGTGGGACTCAGTAGCTGAGTTGATCTTGTATTCATTGGATGATGGAGAGTTTCTATTGGTTGGTCTCCATTCATACGTCCACTGAGTTCCTCCCTGGATCTCACATCTCAGAGTGACTTTCTCTCCACTGTAGATCTGAGACCAGTTGGGTTGAAGAACCAAACTGGGTTTATTGGGATCTATAGGAAAATTATATAGTTAGCAAATTACCAGAACAGAATATTTAATTTCACACTTAAAGTGAGTAAAATCACTTCTTGAAGATACAGAAACTTTTCTGTAACTTTAGTGAGTGAATTTGATCAATGTTTCTCTCAAATCATCCAAGAGCTTTTTAAAGATTTGTATTTGTTTAAAAGATTACAGTAAACATTTCCTGAGACAAACAAATTCAGGACTTAAAGATCATCTGTTGTGATGCAAATAATGACCTGACAGCTGAACTCACCAGTTCTCCAAATTGTGACCTTGTTGCTGGTTCCTGATTCAAAAACTGGGTCTCCTCTTCCTCCTCTTCCTCCTCTGCAGCTGTACTCTCCTCCCTCTGAGACTCTGATGGTTCCATCTGGTTCTGTGTTTCTGGAGGATCCATCTGCAGGATATTGTTGTCCATTTCTGAACCAGTCAAACTTCCAGCCAGTAGATCCTTCAACAGAGCAGGTCAGTGTAACACTGCCCCCTGCTGGTATGACTGTTTCTATTGCTGTCAGTGTGGCTGTGGGTTTATCAGCTGTTGAGTTTGAAATGGAGAAAAATAAGTAAATCATCAGAATATAAATTACTTCTGGAAGACTCTTGCTATTATAATAAACATAATCATATTTAATCAACATTCCATTTAACAGCATTTAATTTGGAGAAACTAAGTAGAAACATAAAGAATGGACCTGATTGTCTATCATGTTTGCTATAAATGAGAAACTGTGGAAACTTTGGTTATTGCAGATAGATTGATCAAACTAGCAGAATTACAAACAAACCAACCTGTAAATGTAATTTCACAACAACACACAGCTTGTTAAACACAAACCATACAAACATGCCTGGGTCAAACATGTGCTTAATAACATAACTAAAATATGCTTCACCTATACCAATATGAAACAATGATCCAATCAGGAAAAAAGTTCAAGCATCAATGGCTGCAGATCAGTAATGAGCGGCTCTAAAACAAGATGACAATGAAGTCAGACTTTCTGTAGCAGATGAGAAATAAGTTAAGGATTGGTTTCAAACTCTTGTGCAACAAAATAGATCATAAATACTGGGTTATATCTAAAATTACATGAACATTTGGATAAAATAGAGAAATGTTCAAATGATCAGAGCAAATATGTTTTTAATTTGGTAATTTATTAATTCCATTTATTGAGACTAAATGCAGTGCTGGTCCATTGTTATGCCAACCTTATAGGCTAAAACAGCAAAATGGCCCCTAGCAACAGCTTCTGATTCCTTTTGTGGGCCTCTATCAGCTACGCCCTAAGCAGAGCCTAGTGTGTCACTTCCTTTGACCTTAACTTTGAGCGTCTGTGCACTGTGTGTGTGTGTGTGTGTGTGTGTGTGTGTGTGTGTGTGTGCTAAAAGAGACAGAGGAAAACACAGAATTATTTTTTTTCCCAACTAGTTTCATGAAGTAGATGGTGTGTGTGTGGATGGAGAGCCGACACACACAGTTTATCAGTCTCAGTCTGTGGACAATCTTACTCTCTGTATTGCAACTGACGGCTCATTTAGATGGACTAAATCGGCCACATAATCCTATTAAAGCATGTTCTATTTTAAAATCAAAAAAACCTAAATTTACAGATATTATGTCTGGAATCCTTATCATCTGAATCTATATTAGATGCATGAATTTAACTGGAATATTCTAGAGGGATATTGTAGTGAATCTGTATTATATTTCTTTTAATTGTGATTCGTCAATGAAGTTTTCATTTTGTCACTTATAACATCTTTATCTAAATGTCTAGAGACTATACTGTAAGAAAGTCCTATCTTTATATCTTCAGCAAAAGCTTAAGTGCTCCTGGACGCCCCCTGCTGGTAGAGCATCAGAACGCAGTGGTTCAGTTCAGTTTGCTGCAGACCAACTCTAAGAACAAATCACAAATCACCTGATACAGACAGAGTGAAGGCTTCACTCCACTGTGTTGGAGTCATCTCTGCTTCTACACTGACACATGTAGTCTCCACTGCTGGACTCAGAGACAATGAAAGTCCAGTCTTTACAATTTGTCCTGTGTATTATTGACCGATCTCTCTTCCATTCACACGTCCACTCAGTGGTTTCTCCTCCCTGGACCTCACATGTCAGAGTGATCGTCTCACCACTGAAGATATGAGGCCAGTTTGGTCGTCGAGTTACAAAAACCTTGTTGGTTTTGGGACTCGACAACCAAACTCACATGTTTATTAAATGTGAGCACTAACATAAAATCAGAAAAAAAAAGAAAAAAAGAAAAAAA